TTTTTTTTTTGGAGAGATTTTCACTGTAGGGCGCGTGCGCTCGCCAGACAGACAGAGAGAGACATAGAGACAGAAAGCGAGTAATCACCCCCCAGGGGGGATGGTCACGCCGCAATCCCTTCTCCTCCATTCTCCTCTCGGGATCTTGGGCACGCACGCACACGCGCCTGGCGTGAGTTTTAAGCCACCGGGTCCAGGACACGAACCACGGTTGACTATGTGGGAGTCCAGCGACATAGCCATAACGCTAACTGCTGGTTCCCTTGTATGTCTTCCTTTTATAGTTGTCTGTTCAGATCAAATATCCATTTTTTGATCGGATTGTTAGTTTTTTTGCAGATGAGATTATTAGATTTCAAAATAGCTCTTTTTTTTTTTTTTGGAGAGGTTTTCGCTACAGGGCATGTGTGTTCGCCAGACAGACAGAGAGAGACAGAGAGACAGAAAGCGAGAAATCACCCCCCAGGGGGAATGGCCACACTGCAATCCCTTCTCCTCCGCTCTCCTCTCAGGATCTTGGGCACGCATGCACACGCGCCCGGCATGAGTTTTAAACCACCGGGTCCGGAACGCGAACTGCGGTCGACTACATGGGAATCCAGTGACATAGCCATTACACTAACTGCTGGCCCCAGTTTTCAAAATAACTCTTAAGGATTGCATGTATCTAGAAAAGATACATCCTATCCCCACTAGGATTTAGTTGCATTTTTGTAGCACATTAATCAGAGTGTGAGAGGGATTAGTGTGTGGAAAGTAAGGATCATTAAAGGAGTATGTGTTTACATTTTCTTTCTTTGAATGTCTTCCAGAAATATTGACATGTCAGGACCAGCAGTTAGCATAATGGCTATGTCACTGGACTCCCACATAGTTGACCATGATTCGCGTCCCGGACCCGGTGGCTTAAACTCACGCCGGGTGCGTGTGTGTGCATGCCCCAGATCCCGAGAGGAGAATGGAGGAGAAAGGATTGGGGCGTGGCTATCCTCCCTGGGGGGTGATTTCTCGCTTTCTGTCTCTCTGTCTCTCTCGCTCTGTCTGGCGAGTGCACGTGCCCTATAGCAAAAACCTCTAAAAAAAAAAAAAAAGAAAAATTGACATGCCTATCATAACTGTGGGAAGATAAAATCAGAGTTTTACTGTATTTATGTGGTTTTGGTCTAGGAAATTATGTGTATTGTACAGCTTAGTGTAATGGCATAACTCTTACCTATTCATGTAAAATACAACCATTTCGCAACCTTTCCTTTTAACTGTTCCATAAAAGCTAAAAAAAGAAATAAAAAATCCTAACAGGTTCTCACTGACAATCAGTTTAGACTTGTTTACCTAACAGTTTCTGTCAGAACTCATGGGAATGCTACAGAATTTTAAGGAGAGACTAATACCACCATCACTATTTGGAGAAGTATAAAAGTGAGCAAATATAAAAGATAAATGTGTGTAGAAAAGTGTGGTACTTTATTTTTAACTGTAAATTGCTGGTTATGTTATTTTTATCCCCAGGTTTACAAAACAAGCATCTTCATGTCTCTGATCCATTCAAAAAACAAAGGAATTTCAAATATATGTAAAACAAATTGAGAGTAAGTTGGAAAAGTCAAGTACAGCAACCTGACTCACTTTTTTTTTCTTTCTTTTAGATTTTTACCATAGTGCACAGGCACTCAATAGAGAGAGACAGAGAGAAGGAACATGAGAAATCACCCCCTAGGAATGTTGAGCATGTGCGCTTGTGCCAGGTGCATTTTTCAAGCCATCAGGTCCAGGACTCGCCCACGTGGGATCCAGCACCTCAAATCACTACCCTATTTGCTGGCCCCTCACTCACTCTAATTATGGAAAAACTCTTATCATTCTACTTCATTATATAAATACAGATTTAGCCTAAGTTGCCTTTCAGTCACACTTATGAACAATATTAAGGTTTATGAAAATTCATAGTATCTATTACATTATTTATTTTCCTTCTTCATACTTCTTTTCCAGACTTTTCCATGGTATTTTTTTCTTTTTCTTAATATTTTTGCCATAAGGTGCATGTGCTCACCAGAGGGAGAAAGAGAGAGACAGGAAAAGAGAAGGTGAGAACTCACTCCCAGGAGGATGGCCATGCTGCAATCCCTTCTCTATTCTTCTCTCAGGATTTTGGGCATGCACACACACATGCCAGTATAATTTTCAAGCCACCAGATCTGGGACTCAAACGATTGTGAGCCATGTGAAAATCCAGTATGTTAGCCAACACACCACACCTGCTAGCTCCTCCATTTTGTATTTCAAAATGACAAAATAAAAAATATTTTATATATCTTTCTAAATGGGGTTGACTTGTACAAACTTTTACAAATAGAAGAACATTTCAAGTCAATCATACAATATCTGGGAGGCTTCCATTTGCCAGGTACTGTACAAACGCTTGTGTCCAGAGGATGGATATGAAAGTTCCTCGCCCTGTGGAATATAGTCTAGAGAGAAAACACATTTTGTTTCCCTTATTTAGTCAACAAGCCACTTACATGGCTCTGTATGCTTAGTACTTTTTTAAAAATTAATTTACTTATTTACATTTAATCACATCTTTACAATGTACGTTTCTTTTTCCAACACAAATACTATGCACGTCAGTCAAGCCAAAGATATTACTCTATAACTTATCAGCAAATAGCTTCTTGTTTTTTGTCAGTTAAGCACACTTGGCTTGTGTTTTCCTTCTCCTTTCCCTTCTCTCCCTCCCATACTACACTTTTTTTCCCACATTTTATTGACTCACAAAATACCTTAAACTAAAAATATGGACAAAGCTAGAGTCTAGTGACAAGTACACTGTAATTTTCTTGTGAAACTTCTTTAAAAGTTAATTAATTAATAATTTACATTCATTCCCTGAGCATCATCACAGCATACAAGATGTGATTTCCCATCCCAAATATACTGCATAGTGGCTTAATCATACATGCTATTGTCAAGAATTTTCCATTTCTAGTTTCATATATATAAATATATATATATATATATATATATGTATATCTTACCCCTATTTCTCACCCTCTGCCATTTCCCACCCTCCTTCCACACTATCTCAGGTATCTACAGTTGTTTTCTATTCCTTCCCCCCCCCCTACATTTTATTGATTCACAAAATTTCTTAAATAATCTAACTACTTTTTACTTTTTTGGTATATATATATCTGTGAATACATGTCTGACTTTAGGTGTGAAACTCTGAGTAGAATGAATGTACTATAAGGTAGCACCTAGCT